TCCAATTTTCCCCTCCCAGCCTCTGTGATATTTCTGTCATGTTATTTTTTTTTTAGATATGTATGATCGCTACACTACACTACACTGTTGTTATTTTTGTCAAGTATCTCATAAAGAGATTTAAATAAGGAAAAAACCCTTTCATGTTGACCCATGTAGTCGCCATGTCAAGTGTTCTACCTTCCAGAGTGCAGACCCAGATTTGATCTGGTATTGTTTTCCTTCACTTGGAGGACTTCCCTTGTCATCTCTTGTGGTGGAGGTCTGATGGTGATGAGTTCTTTCAGCTTCGTGTGTCTAAAATTCAGTCTTCCTCTCAACTTTACCTTGAAAGATGCTGTCACTGGATACAGAATTCAAACTTCACAGGTTTTTGTTTCAAAACTTTAAGGATGTTGCTGCACTGTCTTGTATCCATTACTTCCAGCAAAAAAAATCTGCTGTCATTGTTATCTTATTCCTCCATATGTAACAATTTTATTCTAATTATGTAATGGAAGGTAAGCTACTTAAGTTGTTATACAGTTCAATAATGCTCCATTCACCTTTTTCTTAAAGAATTATTTTATTTAACTTTATTTATTTATTTTAATTTGACTGGAGAGGGACAGAGAGAGAGAAAGAGAAAAAGTGAAAAAGCAAGCTGCCTGGTCTGAGATATGAGACTTGACCGTGGTGGTCAGCCATGTGGGAGCCCAGCACCCTAGTCACCATGTCACCTGGCAGCCCCTCCATTTGCCTTAAAAAAATTTTTTTAAGAAATACTTTATTTATTTATTAATTTTAATTCCACCAGAGAGGGACAGAGTGAGAGAGAGAGGGACAGAGTGAGAGAGAGAGGGACAGAGTGAGAGAGAAATAGAGAAAGTGAGAAGCAAGCCTCCAGGCCCAGGACTCAAACAGCGGTTGGCCATGTGAGAGTCTAGCACCCTTAACCATCATGCTACCTGCTGGCCCCTACCTTATAAATTTTTAAAATGTTTTATATTTCTAGTACTTTCTGCTACATCTTCATGTTCATTTCATCTGTGATGTTTGGTCTGCCATTCCTCTCATCCAGAGTATTTCATCTCACATGTCTTGGTAAGCTCAATGCTGGCTTTTAAAAATATCTTCAATGTCTGGGACCAGCAGTTAGCGTAATGGCTATGTTGCGGGACTCCCATGTAGTCTACTGTGGTTCGCGTCCTGGACCCGGTCGCTTAAACTCACGCCAGGCGTGTGTGCATGTGTGCCCAAGATACTGAGAGGAGAATGGAGGAGAAGGGATTGTGGTGTGGCCATCCCCCCTGGGGGATGAGTTCTCGCTTTCTGTCTCTCTGTCTCTCTCTGGCAAGCGCACACGCCCTATGGCAAAAACCTCTCCAAAAACAAAAAAAAACTTCAATGTCTAACTTTCAAACACATGTAATACCATCATAATACCCTTTTTTAAGCTAGAGCATACACACAAAGGAGAGAGAGAGAAAGCATTCTTGACAGGGTCTTGTCACACTGCCACACCCTTGCCCCAACCCTCAATCTTCTCCTGGGTGCCCATGTGCACCCCGTGTTTTCAAGTCAACCGAGGGATCTAAACCTGTGGGCACCACATGGCCTCCACCCTTGCAAGGCATTCTATTAGCGCTGCACCACAGCAGCTAGGCCATGTGTTAACGGCCTGTTTGGTAAATCTAACTTCTAGATCAGTTCTGGATTGGCTTTATTTCATTACATGTTGTATTTTCCCATATCCTTGCATATTTGCTAATTTTTGTTAGTCAAGATACTGTGAACATGATCTTATTTGGTAGATGGTTCTATATTCCTATAAATACACACACAGAAACCTGGAAACACAGAAAGACACTTGGTGACCTGGGACTGACACAGGTGGGAGCTTATTATTGTATGAAGGGGACTTCAAAAAGATCAAGGAAAAAAACTATTATGAAAAACGCATGGATTTCTAATTTTTTGTCACTAAAATAAACTTGTACTTTAACTCCATTTTCCATAAAATTTCATAAATCCCCTTATATATTTTTTATATGTCCTGAATTTTGAATTGCATGAGAATGCAATTACCTAGTCAAAACAATTAATATTAAAATAACTGAAATGAGTAATTGGCCTAAACCACAATTAGAAATAAATTACCATTATGAGTAACTACACATATGTGCATTATCTATTTGGCACTTTAAAAATTTCATATGTAGCTTATAATCTTATGAATAACAGTGTTTTCACCCAAAATTTGTTTTATTGTCAGCAGACACATGCTCACCAGAGAAAGCAGCCCTCAACAGAAAATGGTCATAACACAATCCTTTTCCTCCATTTTTCCATGCCACTGGGATTCTGGACACATACATACCCATATGCACCTACTGCATTTTGTTTTTTTTTAAAGAGGTTTTTGCTATAGGGCATGTGTGCTTGCCAGAGAGACAGAGAGAAACAGAGAGACAGAAAGCAAGAAATCACTCCCCAGGGAGGATGGCCACACTACAATCCCTTCTCCTCCATTCTCCTCTTGGGATCTTGGGCACGCACGCACACGTGCCCAGCGTGAGTTTAAGCCACCGGGTCCAGGACTCAAACTGTGGTCGCCTACATGGGAGTCCAGCAACATAGCCACTACACTAACTGCTGGTCCCCCTACTGTGTTTTTCAAGCCATTAGGGCCAGTATTCAAACCTTGGTCAGCCATGTGGGATCTGGTTCCCCGTGCATAGTGCTTAACTACTACACTGCAGGGCATTGTTTCCCAAAATTTATTAGTAAGAGTCATCTGGGTTGTTAATAACAGATTTGTAGGTCCAACCTAGATGCACTAAATCAGGATTTCCTAATAATCTATAAAAAATGCCCTCAGGAAATACTTATCAAATCGGGAACTCTTAACTACAGCTTAAGAGTCATCTCTAGGAGGAACAGCAAATTTGTAACTAGACAACTCTGGAACCGTTTCTTGGCTTTACCATTTTCCTATATGATCGATGACTAAGTTACCTGACCTCTTTGTGCCTCAGTTTCCTTATCTAGAAAATGGAGATCACACCTCTAGGGTTGTTATAAAGATTAATTTATGGGTCCAGCTACAGTGGTGCAAATGGTAGGGTGCTGCAGTAAGAGGCTGGGGCCACATGAGAAGCTAGGTTTAGTTCCTGGACTAACCTATACAGGCTGGGCACAGTGGCACTAGCCAGCAATCTTAACTAACCAGGAGTTCGAAGCAGGAAGACCCCGAACTGAGCAAGACCCTCTCTCACTCTCTTTCATTTAAAAAAGGGGGAAGAGGGTAGTCTCACAGGACAGTAGCTAAGCATAGCACATAGGAAACTGGACAGCCAACTATGGGTTAGAGTCCCAACAGCCATGGTTCAAAGATCACAGTGAATAAGAACCTGGATCCCACATGGTCAACTACAAGAGTCCCAGCATCTGCAGCTCAAACTAATTATACCAGGTGCATGTGCCTGCATGCTCAAAATCCTGACAGGATGGAGAAATGGAGGGAAAAGGATTGTGGTGTAACAATGCTCCATGGGGAGGTGCTCTCTCTCTCTGGCAATATGAAAAAAAGATTTATGTAAAGAGTGTAGAACACAATCTTTCTTAAATGTTTTCCTTGCTTTTTATGTTTTAGAGAGATTTCTGCTATAGAGCACGTACGCTTGTCAGAGAGACAGAAAGCGAGAAATTACCCCCCAAGGGGGATGACCATGCCACAGTCTCCCCTCCTCTATTCTCCTCTTGGGATTTTGGGCATGCATGCACATGCACCTGGCATAAGTCTTAAGCTACCAGGTCCAGGACACGAACCATGGTCAAACATGTGGGAGTCCAGTGACATACCCATTACGTCACCTGCTGGTCCTTCTTGATACCTTTTAAACACTTAAGATAGCTAGTGCATAGCTATCTAGTAAATATTAGTTTCCTTTCCTCCCACAGCCACATTACACAAATGTGTGGGTATTCTATGTCTATCAAGTGGTGAATGCACTGTATTCCCACATGGTATGGTTTGAGTTCCAGACCTGGTGGCTTGCTTTCTCACTTTCCCTTTGGCTCTCTCTCTCTCTCTGTCTCTTCCTGGTCAAATTTAAAAATAAATATAATAAAATTAAATAATTCTTTTTAAAAAAAGGGTAAAGTTGAGGGGCCAGCAGGTGGTGTGGTGATTAAGGCTCTGGATTCCCACATGGTTAACCATGGTTGGAGTCCTAGACCCAGTGGTTTAAAACTCATGCTGGGCACATGTATATGTGTGCCTAAAATCCCAAGATGATAATGGAGGAGAAAGGACTGCAGTGTGGTCATCCCCCTTACAGGGGCGATTTCTCACTTTTTCCCTCTCTCTGTCTCTCTCTAGTGAGTGTATGTGTCCTATGACAAAAACAAAACAAAACAAAATTAACTTGAAGCATTATTTATTAATCATTAATCTTCTCAAGACATATATATGTATCCACAACACACAGAATTTTCTTAGTGATAAACTATGAACTATCCTATCAAAGGCATTTATTTGTTTATTTAAGAGATTTTATTTTTTTGCTATAGTGTACGTGCACTCACTAGAGATAGACAGAAAGACAGAAAGTGAGCAATCACTTCCCCAGGAGGAAGGTCACACCACAATTCCTTCTCCTCCAGTCTCCTTTCAGGATCTTGGGCATGCATGCATACATACCCAGAATGAGTTTCAAGGTGGGTCCGGGACTTGAACTAAGGATAGCTACATGGGAGTCCAGTGATGTAACCATTATACCATCTGCTGGTTCCTCAAAACCATTTAAAAAGCTTAGTTTAGTAGGTTTATTCCTAATAAGTTACCACTCACTAGTTGAATACTCTCACCTTATCCCTAAAAATGTCACTTTATACAAAATGAAAAAAAAAAAACACTACAATATTATCTTACGTACTATTTTGCCTATACGAATTAAGACAACCCTCAATTAATTTTTCTGTCAAGAAAAAAAATAAATAAAACCTAATAGCTGTACCTCTGTTATGTTCCTCTCTCGTAATGAAGCCAACTCATAAGGATCCACAAAAAGTCCTGTTGGAATGTAGTGTTTAATTAAGAGTCGACAGGTCTGTAAGTCCTCAATGCTCTCTCCAAATTTCACTTTTATTAAAAGGTCTCTGTAAGACAAGTACATTTAAAGTAAACCTCTTCATTCAATTGTTCAATGAGATTGCACAACACTATATTCATATTAGCAGAAACACTATATTTCAAATTCATTTTCCAAAAGTAGATTACAAAGTAAAATGAAGTACTTCTATTATATCAGAATCACCTATTAGAGCTTTCATAATTCATGTTATAAGCCACAGTAAAGCATTAGTATGAAAATAGAGATTAACAGTGCTTGCTTCGGTAGCACATATAACTAAAATTGGAATGATAGGGAGATTAGCATGGCCCCTGAGTAAGGATAACATGCAAATTCATGAAGAGTTCCATATTTTTTTTAAAAATAGAGATTAATAGAAAGGAATAGAGTCCAGAAATAGTGACACACTAATTTTCAATAAATGTAACCAATATAATTTGATGATAGTTTTTTCAAAAAATGGTATTAAAACATTTTATTTTTATCTATACAGAAAAAAAATGAACACTGACCTCTACCTCATTCCACATGTAAAAATTAATTATTGGAGCTGGCAGGTGGCATGGTGGTTAAACGTGCTGGACTCTCATATGCCAACCATGGTTCAAGTCCTGGACCTGGTGGCTTACTTTCTCTCTCTCTCCCTCTGTCTGTCTGATAAAACTGGTAAGTAATAATAATAATAATAAAGCTAAATAAAATAATTCTTTAAAAAATTAATTATTAGTGTAAATGCATAATTGCCCCAACTTTCTTTCTGCAGATATTGGATCTCAGTGCAGGGAGGGGGATCCAGTTATCTAAGTTAATTGTGGAAACAGAAAGAGAAGTTTAGGGAAACCAAAGTGCTGAAAGTCACAGTACTAAGTTCCAGAGGTGAACTTCTAACAACAAAGAGCTCCAGAAATCTGAATAGGAATCTTTTGAGATTCTTCCTGAATACTAAGATAAGCTGCAGTAAGGAGTAACTCCACAAGTCTGAGAAAAAATGATCAGGGAACTGAAAAAACTCTAAAACTTCTCATAGGATTGGAAGACATTCAAGTTCCAACCAACCAAAATATACAGATAAAAGCATTCAGTAAAGAACTCAATTGGAAAAAAATATACAGATAGAAGCATTCAGTAGAGGGACCAGCAGTTAGCATAATGGCTATGTCACTGGACTCCCATGTAGTTGACCGTGGTTCACATCCCGGACCCGGTGGCTTAAAACTCACGCCAGGCGCGTGTGCGTGTGTGCCCAAGATCCTGAGAAGAGAACGGAGGAGAAGGGATTGCAGCATGGCCATCACCTGGGGGGTGATTTCTCACTTTCTGTCTCTCTGTCTGGCGAGTGCATGCACCCTACAGCAAAAACCTCTCTCAAAAAAAAAAAAAAAAAAAAAAAAAGGCATTCAGTAGAGACCTCAATAGGAAAAAAAATTTTAGTAGACAAATTAGCTTTAGAGTAAAGGCTACTTTAACTTTAGAACTAAACAAGAAAAGGTTAAGATGATCACTGATGAATAAATAACCTAACTACAAACAAACAAAAAACATCCTGAGAAGATAATAAAAATCCGCACTCAACAAAGTTCATGTCCAAAACATTCACAATGTTTAGCATTCAAATATTACTAAACAGGCAAAGATGCAGGGAAATTTAACAGAAAATCAGGAAAAGTATCGGTTAATAGAAATGAAATGAAGTGAAATGAAATGAAAGAAGTGACAAAATTAGCAAAGAATATCTAAAAAGTTATTTTAAATATGCCCAACATGTTCAAGAATGTACACAAATATCATGAGAAAGAGATGATATACTTCCCCCCCAAATGGAAATGCATACAACTTTAAGAGATGAAAAATACTATTTCTGTAATAAAGTTACTCAGATGTGATTAAAAGCAACTAGACAGTGAAGAAGAAAAGATTAGTGACTTGGAGACAGAGCAACAAAAACTATCTAAACTGAAGTGCGGAGGGGCAAAAAACTGGGTAGTTGAGGAAGGAATGGTCTCACTGATGTTTAAACAATATCAAATGGTCTAGTACATGTATACTTGGAAAAAAAAAAACAAAAACAAAAACAAAAAGGATGAGAGAATATAACAGAGAAAAATTTGAGGTCAGATGGTGGCACAGCAGTACAATTTAACACCCTATCAGGCAATTCTACATAGATAGGTTCCAATGTCAAGAATGAAGATGTACACATGTGTGCAGAGCTGGCTGAAAGCTGGGAGGTGAATCAGTGTTCAGAATCTCTTGGGAATTTCTTGTTTGTTTACTCTCTTACTCATAGAAAAAATAAAATTTTTAAACACTTGACATGGTCACTGAAAAATTCCTGAATTTCATAAAAGCAATGATCCCATAAATCCAAGAAGCTCAACAATCCCAAGTGGGAGAAACATACAAAAAAAAAAACAAAAAAAAAAAACCCCACAAGGCATACTAATCTCTGGGGGTAAAAAAATCCTGAAAGGTATCAAAGAAAAAAGACACAAGGCTAGTCCCATAGCCTAGTGGTCAAGGGAGGCAGATTCTACAGAGCCAACCATGGTTCAAATTCCAGCCCCACAGCTGAAAAACACTAGGCATGTGTGTATATGTGTGCCCCAAATCCCAACTGGATAGAGAAATGGAAGAGAAAGTATATTATGACCATGCACTAATGGAGGGTGCTTTCTTCTTCTTCCTCTGTATCTCTGTCTCTCTCTGATAAGCACATATGCCCTCTGACAGTAATAAGATTTTTTAAAAAATGACACATTATATAGAGAGTAACAAAAATAAGCAGCAGGCAAGGAACAGCATAAAGTACTATGAGAAAAGAAGCTGTAAATCTGTTATGTATCCAGGAGGGACAGGTCAGTAACATAAGCAATACTACTGGGGCTGGCAGGTGGCGTGGTGGTTAAAGGCACCAGACTCCCACATGGCCGACTGCAGTTCAAGTCCTGGACCTGGTGGCTTGCCTTCTCACTTTCCTTCTCTGTCTCTCTCTCTCTTTCTCTGTCTGATTAAACAGGAAAATAATAATGATAAAAAAAGTAAAAACAACAACAACAAAAAAAACTATACTATCAATGAAGTTGATCTGCTCAGAATCCTGAGGGGATACAGAAATGGAGGAAAAAACACTGTGGTGTGAAGTGCCCCATGAGGAGGTGCCTGCCTTCGCACTTTCTCCTCCAGTCCCCACTCCAACATTTATACAGTATTATAACAAACAAAAGCACAATTTTAAGTCCACAAGAAAAACCATATGCAGGGTGATAAAAGAGGTTGCTAGATGTTTAAAAGAACTAAAATAATAAGAATATGGTCTCTAACCACAAAAGAAATTAGAAATCAGTAATAGAGATCTGAAAACATTTTCCCCAAAGCTTAAAATTAAACAACATACTTCTTTTTAAGCTTTATTTATTTCTTCTATGGTAGACATGTGAGAAGGATAGGGGTGTGTATCTCCAACAGGGTCCTCATGCTGTTACTGAATCCCTAGCCTCAGTCAGCCAGGATCATGGGCACACATACATGTGCCTTGTATGCAAAGAGAGAGCACAGGATGCAAATTAGGACCTTCTCACATGGCCTCAAAATCAGCAAGTGTTGTTTTACCCTTGCACTATTGCAGCTGGCTAAAATCAAACAATATACTTCTAAATAACTAATGGGTTAGGAAAAAAAATCATAAAGGAGGGACCAGCAGTTAGCGTACTGGCTATGTTGCTGAACTCCTATGTAGCCAACCGCAATTCGAGCCCCGGACCTGGTGGCTTAAACTCACGCTGGGCGCATGTGCATGCCCGCCCAAGATCCCGAGAGGAGAATGGAGGAGAAGGGATTGCGGTGTGGCCTTCCCCCTTGGGGGGGGGGGTGATTTCTCACTTTCTATCTCTCTGTCTCTGTCTTTCCGGCGAGCACACTATAGCGAAAACCTCTCCCCCCCAAAAAAAAAAATCATAAAGGAAATCAGAAACTATATTGAAGTAATTGTGAATGAAAACAAGTATGTTAAAATTTGTAGGATGCAGCAAAAGCCCTGCAAAAGGGTAATAGGTTTAAATTCAGAAATACTTACACAAAGGGGAAAAGTCTAAAATCAACGATTAAAAAGTTAAAAGGAAATTCAACCCAGTGAAAGAAAAGAAATAATAAAGAGCATAAGGAGATCAGCAGGTGGCATGGTGATTAAGACGCTGGACATTCCCACATGGCTAACCATGGTTCGAAGTCTTGGACCTGGGGGCTTGCTTTCTCACTTTCACTTTCTGTGTCTGGTCAAATTTAAATAAATGAATGAATAAATAAAATTAAATAATTCTTTTTTTTTTTTTTAATAATTCTTTTAAAAAAGCATAAATCAATGAAACAGAGTGAACAAATAATAGAGAAATGTATTAAATTATTTTACAAAGATAAATAAAATTGATAATCTTTGATCTTAGAAGAAAAAGCAAGGGACCAGCAGTTAGCGTAATAGCTATGCCACTGAATTCCCACGTAGCTGACCACGATTTGAGTCCCGGACCCGGAGGTTTAAACTCTCTCTGGATGCGTGTGCGTGCATGCCCAAGATCCCGAGAGGAGAATGGAGGAGAAGGGATTGCAGCATGGCCATCCTCCCTGGGGGGGTGGGGGGTGGTGGTATTTCTCGCTTTCTATCTCTCTGGCAAGTGCACGGACCCTATGGCAAAAATCTCTCTCAAAATAACAACAACATGGAACCAGCAGTTGGTGTAATGGCTATGTTGCTAGACTCCCACGTAATTGACCATGGTTTGAGTCCCGGACCTGGTGGCATAAACTCATGCTGGGTGCCTGTGTGTGCGTGCCCAAGATCCCGAGAAGAGAATGGAGGAGGGGATTGCAGCGTGGCCATCCCCCTTGGGGGGTGATTTTTCACTTTCTGTCTCTGTGTTTGTCTGTCTTTCTGGCAAGCACACAGGCCCTATAACAAAAACCTCTAAAAAAAATAAATAAATAACAACAACAACAAAAAACATAATAGAAAAATCATGTGATCTTAATAGATGAAGAAAAAGTACTTGATAAAATATAAAGCCTAATTGTAACAACAACAAAACTATCAAAATACTAGGGACATGACAGAACATTCTCAATTGATAACCTAACACAAATATCATACTGCATGGCAAAAGATAGTTTTCCCCTTAAAATCAAGAACAAGGCAAGAATGTCTGCTCTCACCACTTTTATTCAATGCTGGATTAGAGATCCTAGCCAGTTCAAAGAAATAGGAAAAATAGAAAATGGAAAGTGGACAAATTATTTGTAAACTATGATCATCTATGTTGAATGTATTAGGGAACTTACATACAATCTATATGCATTAATAAGAGAT